AACCTTTTTCTTCATGTAATTATTATTGTAAATAGACAGTGTACATAGTAGAAAATGTACGCAGGGAGTTCTGATTCACCCGCCAGTAACCATCCTGTCCTCGACCGATCCCGAGCTACCATAGCTAAGACAGCCGACGGCAGCCGAGTGTAGCGCCGATGTTAGGAAATGAGTAACGACAGACCCAAGTAATTATAATTTCTCACCCCCTCCCCCCTGAGGTGTAACAATTATAATAATAAGTTGGTCACGTTACGTATTTATATTAATTGTCTGATATCATCCGTTTTTGGGGGGAATAACATTTTGGTGTGCCGTGTTGAGTCATGGATACTTCAGGGTGTGCCATGAGCAGAAAGAGGTTGTGGAACATTGCTCTAAAACACTGGTATTGACCTACCAGATCTGGTATAGAAAACCGATATTAACGGCCATGAGGATCCGTTTCGCTGATAACGCGATACCCTCTATCCTCTAAAGTTGGCACTAACTTCAACAGGCGGCTATTGCTCGGTCGGTATAGTTTGCTTGCAGACTCAAAGTCACGGAGTTTTTTGACCTACCAGATTATACTGCATCACATTTCAGAATACCATAATCTTCATATCTACTGCAATGAGAACATCATAGTTCATACAATAAGATTCATAAGTTTCAATAAGCACCATTCACATTGTGTAAGATCTGAGGTTTTCTCTCAGCAAGTCTCAGCAAGTCGTGGAAGCCTCTCATCTGTTCCCTAAAAACCCCCCCGGGACATGACACCAGATCCACGAGGCTACACAGGCCATGACCGACCAACATAGGAACCTCCCACCNCCGCCGACTTACAGTTGCCACGACTGTCGCTCGAGCTTGAGTTCTTTCTCTCAGGGATACGGGTGCTTTGGAGAAGGGAGTGGAACACACTTCGGGGTAAATAAATCCGGGATCTCCAGAACACACGGTGGATGGCAGTTTTAATTTAAAATTTCATTAATGATGAATATGTACATTATTCTCCTAGCTAGCCGCTCCATCCGCCGACTAGCTACCACTACTCTTGAACACTTCTCTCTTCTCTATCTACATTCCAACTACTGTCCTCCTCCGCTCCCTATAACCGACTCCCCCTCTTTACAAGTCCCCCAGTTGGCATCAGAAAAACAAGAAAAATAACAAGAGAAATCCAAGGGTCGAGCCCGACATCTGGCCTACATTCGTATTTTTCGAGATGCCCATAAACCTCTGTCGGTCTTCAAGGAATCCAAGACCCCTCCTGGCCGGTCTCGCACGCGGTCAGTTCATGGGTTTATGATATACTGGGAGTAAGCAGGCAACGTTAGGGACAATAGCGGCACCCTTAGCCTAAGGAGGACAATAGCGGAATTACAACTAGACAGTCCCGGGATGGTATCTCGCCGATGGAGCGTCTCTCATGGTATTAAACAATGCCTAAGTAGTTCATACCCTTAATTATATAATTTTGAGGAGGGACGTACGGTTACAGCTGTTTATTTCCAACACCAGTCTGTTTGTACCGGTTGTCACGGTCTCTTTGTTTGCAGATTTCTTATTTTTCCTTCTACCCTGAAGATGGAGGCGATACGTTCCTCCGAAACGTCAGTTAACACCACATCTACACCGTGCCACATCCCAGAAGACTGCTCTCTTTTCACCATTCACATTATTTTTCAATTTTGAAAGATGTAACAAGAAAGAAGAGTTCAGTCTTCTGTACATACATGGCAACGATCTTGCTAACTCAGTGTGTGTGACGTGTATGATTGTAATAATGCTACTTCATAACTGACATTTGCGTAGAATGTCAGAAAATGATTCCTAACACCACAGAGACCACTTCAAACCCTAGTGTTGTAACCACTATGGTAAGAATTGAGTGAGATATGAAATTATGTTCAATAACTCCTACCTCTATTTCAACGTCAGCTTTGTGTCGTAAGAGAATCTTTATAACTTCGAGATGACCATTTTGACTTGCTGCCTGAAGAGCAGTATGTCCAGCGAACACTCCATTCACATCAGCATCCGTGCGCTTAAGTGATTCTTCACACTTCTGTGCATCACCATTAGCAGCTGTTTTCACAAGTTCCTCATTTACATCACCAGATACATGTGTCTCAAAGAGTTTCTTCAGTAGTGCACTCAAGCGTTCTGGAACACAAATTGTAAGACATAAGATGTAACTGATAGCACCAGTGAGTGACGAAACGAAGTCAGAGATGCGTAATATTTTAGCCCTCTTATTTTATAGCTTCATGTCACCTGACATCAAATTTCAGTGCAAGGAACTGGAAGTGAAATACAATCTCTCTGCTACGTCAGATAAACCACAAAGATGAAACCGGAGAATAAATCATGGAGCGATGACCATTACATGCCAGCATGTAATTACATAAGAAGTTAGTGTCGGCAGTGTAATAATCCATTCAGTGTGGAGAAATCTGGTACCATCTTTAGGTTAGTCTGGTTTCATGCATGTTGCTGAGGTTTTGGTCTAGTCTGTTTAGTGATTTGACAGGCACAAATAACCAGTATTCTAACACTATTAATTAACCTAATATTTAACTCTAAACAGGAACATAATTATACTGGCTGTTGCTATAAACGTAATTGTTATAAACTCATCGAAAAATAAGATTTCCCACAATTAAGTTATGAGCGTGACTTATATAACAGATTCAAAACCAAGCCTCCAAAAGCTGAAGAAAAGCTGAAAAGAATGGAGGGTCACAGAGTACATGCAAATGATGAAGTTACAATATACAGGAACTAAGAGAAAGTACTGTGATGTGGATGGTGCAAGAGGAAGTAGGGGTCACGAGAACTCTGCGGTCTCGCGAGTGATGTCACATACCCCCACTCCTTCCATCATTACGCAATGCACAGTAAACACCCCTCCCCTGCGGTGACATAACAGGGGACACTGTGGTTACTACGCAGCAATAAACAACTCTTGGCAGCGTTCCCCAGCAAAAAGCCTGTAAACACGACGTTACGCAACAGTGGTAGCTATCATGTAACTGTTTTCTGTGTTGTCAGTGCGGAAGCTACAAAACGACAGAATTACCAAAGTATCCAGTCAGTTGCAGTCTAGCATTCACTGGAGTGAGTGGAGTTCATTGTTATTGAGTTGTATCGAGTGAATGGAAATGACTACAGGAGAAGTATTTGTGATACTGCAGATGGCAGTAATCGTGAAACTGTAAATTGTGTAAATGTAAGAGCGAGTGGAATAAATTCGCTATATCCAAGATGGCATGAAGTTATTTGTCACGTGACATACACCCAACATGTGACAGTATTATAACAACACGTACCGATAAGAATTATTTGGTGCTTTCCTCTGATAAGTCACATACCTCACAAAAAGGACAAGTACAACAATTCTTCTACTGTTCCATGTGTATGTGTTTGCCAAGCCGCTGCCTAGTGACTAGTCCACTGCCTAGCAGTGACAGGGGGGCTACACACACAAACACACAGGGAAAGTAGGCTTACAACAGAGGAACTGTTGGAGGCAGTGTTTTGCCTGTGGTCTGACCTGAATATAAAGAGGACAACTCAGGACCATGGTTAGTGGCCAGTCACAGTGCACAGGAACTCAAAAGTTGCAATGATGAAAAAGGTCTTACAGAAATATTGGACAGATGAGGTTCTGGATAGCTCTTGTGAAATGGAAAGAAACCTTCCCAAACTCCATAAAGGCATGGGATTGGGTTAATTGAGCAATTATTAACTGAGGGTACTGTTCCATGCAGTTGGTTTATTTAAAAAATAAGGTTATTCCTGGGCTTAATTAGTTAAGCACCACATCATGAACACATATGGGCAATGGAGGTACAGCTCCAACATCTTGACCTTTGCAATAGATGGAGGTAAGTGATCCACTTCACGGAGTTGCCAATTCACCCCAGAGGAACTAGCCCCCACTATGCACTGTACAAGAGGATGGATGGGCCCCAGAACCAGTCTGGTTATTGCCCCTGCTGAGAACTGAAACTCAGTTCCTCAGTCATCCAGCGAATAGCCTAGTCACTACACTGACTGAGCTATTTTCAGTTTAAGTATACTGTGACATGATGCCTGAAAGCCAGAATATTAGAGCCAGAGCAGATGTCCATTGTTGGACAATGGCTTGGTGAACACGTTCCCGCTGCAACAAATAGCCGGAATAATCAATTGTTGGGTAATGGTTCGGTAAGCACATTTCCATAGCAATGCATGAACACGGGAAAAACAGAATAATACAGACTGTTTGAGGTGGTGAGCCATATTCAGGGTGCCTGGAAGTTATAAAAAAGTCATAATTCATTTACAAAGGCATTCAATGATTCAGTTATCAGTGATTCTTCGTTCGTCATGGTAGAAGAGACGATACTCACGGTCCAGTAAGGAATGGAACAAGTCTCAGAAAGTCGCTGATTGTGAGCTGTTACAATTGACGAGTGCCAACAAATCCAGAACCCATTATTATTAGTCACGCAAATCCCTCATACATGACAATACTGTTAACATGGTATACTTATATTTAATTTAAAAGCTGTAGAAGTAAATTTTAGTAAGTATATTTAAAAAGAAACAATTCTCTGATATGTGAAGTACCTCCACTGGATGTCCCTGGTACTGTGCCATCTGATGAAGCAACCTTTGTGACAGCTACAGGATTGTACGTCCAAGATGTGCCACACACTTCCACCTTCAGGTCATTATCATGGTAGATTTGTTGCACACGACCAATCTTCCCAAGAGTCTGCAATGAAAACATCAATGGCATGTGAAACGTTACCTAAACATGCCGCTGACTTCAACAGAAGCAAACTGTATTAAAGAAATAGAAATACTGAAGAGAACTCATGACAATGTGGTTAAAAATTAGAGAATTTTCATTCACCAATGCAAAATGAAGACATTTAAAAATATGAAAGTAGAGACCACTTTGAAAATCTTGATGCAGTTACAAGGTTAAAATGAAAATAGATTTTAAGGAAATATGATGTGATGTTATAGACTGGATTCATCTGGCTCAGGATAGGGTCCAGTGGGATGCATGCAAACATGAAAATGACGTTTTGGATTCCATAAAAGGAAGGGAATTTATCTGGTATCTTAGAAACTATTATCTCGTCAAAAAGGACTCTGCTCAACAGAGTTAGAATCTACCCACAGAGAATATCTGAATTTTTATGACCTATTCCACCTAACAGATAGCTAAGTGCACACAGCAAATACCACAGCCTAACACTCTTATGGCACACTGTTACACTGCATAGCGAGATAGTGCAAGCAGTGTCCCTGGGAACCAAGCATAATGATCACCACAGACTAAGAACATATTAGCGCACAACAATGTTACACCACAAAACGAACATGATTACAATATTTTGGGGCATACTGGACACACCATGAATTTATCAGACTATAAACTTGAAACATCATAAGACATTACATTTATCAACAGACATATTCATTTCATGTTTGCCACTTTGGTTAGAACTTAAAATCCACATTCAGTACTTCTGAATTCCAATATAATTTCATCACAGAACATTACATTGTTTCATACATAAACATTTCTTGACCAAAAATTAATTTCAAGATAAATTTAAAGATTCCTGGTACTCATTTCTGTCAGAGGATGAACTGACCACAGGGCCACAGTGAGGCTGGAAGGATTAGGTCAATTGAAAAAAAAATCCAATGAACTCATCAGTGCTTGAACCCACAAACTCCAGCTTGTAGCATAGTGCCTCAACCACCTACGCTACCGCGTGCCATTCTTGGAATATTATTGGCGGTAATGGGCAGCCGGTCGTAAGGCTGACATCCTTGCCGCCATCTATTAGCCAACTGTCTAGAAAGCTGCCATCTATGAGCCAGTTGTCTAGAAAATGTGGGAACCTCAACATTTCACAACCATATGGGCCTCCACGGCCTGTCACAGGGATACCTTTACTTTTTTTTTTTACTTTTAAATTTAAAGATACAGTGTCTTCAGGTAACACTTATATAAATAATAATAAAGGAAGGCAAAAAATAAATTATTATTACACACAAATCTATTTATGATGGTTTCTGACTTACAGAATCCAAATCATTTGGTCCAAAAATTTCCAAATAAAGTGGAAAAATCCTTCATTTCATGTAAAATTTCCAGCCTATAAAGCTAAAAAGAGTTTGCTTTTTTTATTGGGGGGGGATTGCAGGTTTTTTTTAAATGCATTAATACACCAATCTGTGAACTGAATGTTCAGAAAATAAGGACTAAGCAGCACATGATACTGTGTCCCATAATGATACTCACCGGAGCCATTGCTTCAGCCCATTCACCATGACCACGTTGAAGAATTTTTATGCGTTCCAGATCACTGCAAATCTGAACTAAGTCACCGACAGTAAATTGCTGCTGTGTATCATTGGAGCCTGTACCTCCACTCGGAGCAGCTACTGCAACTTTGGTAAGTACTGCAGGGTTGAACGTCCAGCGGTTGCCACTGGGATATGACACAACAATGTCATGATCCTCATCAATGCCTACCACAGTACCAGTCGTTCCAAGGCACTCAAACATCCCGTCTGTCCAGCCACCATGCCCATGTTGTAATGACTGCACAATCTCCAATTCCAAATCAACATTCACCTGAAAACAATTTGCATTATGTGTTTATGTTTCAGTGCCATGAGTATCATTTTATATAAAAGGCTACCACCTGCTATTCTGTTATTTATGTACAGTGGAACATCGCTTAACAAGCACCTCTCATAACGAGCAAAACAAATTGTAAAAAAAAAAAAAAAAAAAAACTCACTTAACAAGCGACGTTTCGCATACCAAGTGATGAGAGGGGAAGTCCCAGATTGTGCGCTTGCCACATCAGTCTGTGTTTAGCACTCGTTCTGCTAGCATCTTAGTGTCACTTGTGATCACACATTTTTCCAAACTTGTGTTCAGACATATTATTTGTGATTTCTTTTTTTGTGCAAAGTTTAATAACCCTTGTAAAAATGTCCCCGAAGAAAAAGCCGCAAAAAAGACAGCCATAAGAGAATAAAAATTACCATAGAAATGAAACATAAAATCACTGAAAAGCAAGAACGAGATGTGAGCGTGGCTGATCTAGCACGCACATACAATCGGTCTACATCAACGATTTGCAAGATTTGGAGTTGCATTGTGTTTCACAGCAAGAAGTTGTGGAGGAGAGTTTGTCAGAGGAGGAAGAGGAGGTAACAGCAAAGCAACGATCTTCTGGCGCAATAAGAGAAATGCTGAAAGCATGGGAAACTGTTGCATCGTACACTGAGAAGCATCACCCTCATAAATCAGTGGCTATGCCCGCTACAAATTTATTTAATGATAATGCTGTGTCACATTTTCACCAAATTTTGAAGTGTCGGCAAAAACAAATGTCTCTAGACAGCTTTCTAGTAAAACAGAATTAGATATGTATCATAAATAATAAACTAATTATTTCGATTTTTGTGTTTTTGTTTTCTGCAAATCGAATTCGCATTCCAGGTTGGTTCATTCTGCATAGAAGAAAAGATGAAGATGATTCACACTCCTTAACAATGTATACATAATTTTCTTTGAATCAACGTTATACATAAAATTTTTTGAGTATTTTTTTCGGCATGGAACGCATTACCATATTTTACATTAATTTATAGGGGAAAAATTGTTTCGCTTAATGAGTGTTTTGCATTAGGAGTAAGATTCTGGAACAAATTATGCTCGTTAAGCGAGGTTCCATTGTATATATGTTAGCAGTCAGAATATATAGTAGTTACAAACAGAGGCAGAAGATGCCTGCAGTAAATGGGAGTGAAAGGAATACCTCAATCAGCATTCCAGTCCACCTCTGTGAAACATTCACAATGTACCGCTGGATAGCAGCAACATTTAGTGCACACTTATCAGCTGTCTTCCCAGAACCTTTCAAGTTACCGAGCTTAGGTTTTTTGTTATTAAGTTTGTTTTAGATTAAGAAATGTTGCACATGTGTACAAACTGTTTTCTTGGCAGTCTTTATGATCCTTATTCAATAGTGATAACAACCACAACGATTTTCCAACAAAATCTCAATGGCCATTACATTAGCTGCATGTAAAAGCCTTAAGGACATTTCTGCCATGGAGTCCACATTCAAATTTTGCAATGCTATAGCTGACTAAAGGAAATGATACACTGAAACATATTACGTTTCTATTTTTTTAAGTTGGTTATTCAATCTAATACTGTTTATTGTAATACACAGTCCATCAACAATGCAACAAATTGTTCCTCCTTTCTTACATTTTCACTTTCGACACAACATGTTTCGGCCCAAAATGGCCATCTTCAGATGTCTTACTATATTAAAACAGCTACACTGCAGTAATATTGTCCATTCATCACATATTCGACTGCATGCTTCATGATTTAAAATGTCATTCTCGTAGCCAATTGGTATGCGCTAAAACAGAACACGCTGTAGTTAATTTAAATAGGTACAGGATAAAGGATAAAAATCAAAGACATCAACACATGCTGCTAGGGGGAACAACGTACAAGCAAGGGGCAAAATTACAGATTGCAGACGTAACAAAACAATGGGATTACAAACAGAGAAACAAGCTGCTGCAATAAAACATCTGAAGTAAAGGATACAGGTCAAAACAAGTGGATGTCACCCCTTGTGAGGTGTAAAAAGAATTTTACAAAATTTAAAGGAAATTATAAATTTATTGATTTAAATTCAGTGAATTACAATGTGTGCTATTTTAATGCATACCAATTGGCTACAAGTATGATGTTTTAAACCATGAAGTGCACACTCAGATATGTGACAAATGGACAATATTAGTGCAGTGTAACAGTTTCAGCATAGTAAGACACCTGAAGATGGCAATTTGGGGCCAAAACATGTTGTGTCGGAAGTGAAAATGTAAAAAAGAAGGAACAATTTGTTGCATTGTTGATCGGCTGTGTAAAAGAGTAAACATTATTAGATATAGTAATGCAACACAATGCTTAAATAAAGGACTGGTTATTCAACTATTCTGTCAGCAATGAGACTATATGGCACTGGATGATAGTATGATTAATAAATGTAGGGTGGTAGTTGGTGGAATGAGAATTGGCAGGGGAAACCAAAGTACAGTAAAACTTGGTTATAGCAACATCAGTTTCTGCGACACCTTGTCTATTGCGTCAAATATTCAATGGTACGAACAAATTCCTCATAAAGCAACTGTTTGTATACCTTGCTTAGTACGACCAGCACAAATGCATCAACCTCGTATGTAACGTCATTTTCATTCCTGAATTTCTCTGATATGGTGGGAAAGTTCGATGTGTCTGCCCACCCTCACTTTCTCTACTTGCTGACGTGACTGTCCTGGAAGAATACGACCGCGGGCTGCAAGAGGAGCGTGGGTTTTATGCGAAAACAAGGGTGTGGGGTGGAACTGCGTGAATAGTGCAAGAGGACGCGGCAGGTTGTTAACTGCATTCCTTTCCTAGAATCTCGTCTAACAGGACCTCACATTGTCTACTTACCCTATAGTGTTCCTGCCTAAACCCAGAGAAGTGCAGTAGCGAAAACATGGCAATGAAAAGGAAAGTTTTAAGCATTGAAGAGAAAGTTAAAGTGATTCGTGAAATAGAAAATGGAAGGAAAAAAGCTGATGTATGCCGAGAATTTGGTTTGGTGAATTCTACAGTACAAACGATATGGAGAATCCATATTAATTCCATGTTAATGTTACGTTAGTCTGTACTTAACTACGTATTTCACTAAAAAATGCAACATTTTAACTCGGTTTTTGGTAGATTTTTACGTGACTAACATAAGGCTACTGTGGAAGTGCCCATTTCGGTTACAACGACATTCGTTTATAACGACACTATTTTTAGGTCCCTTTGATGACGTTATAACCAAGTTCTACTGTACTTATAAAAAACTTGACCTAGTACCACTCCATCCACCACAAATCCCACATGACCTGATATGGTATCAAACCCAGGCTGACATGGTGGGAAGCCAAAGAAATTTCTTAGGTACATCTGCTCATTTAAATGTTTTATTTGCTTGGGATTGAGGTTTACATTTCTAACATAACCCCCCTCCCGCTTAATACTTTTTGAAACACTTTCTGTTCTATAAAAGTTAGTACATCAGGAATATTTAACATACAGTTCCACTATACACACCTGATCTCCAATTTGAAGGCCATGTGGTCCAGAACGACCAGGTCCTTGCTCACCCAACAGTGGTAAGTGGTCACGGTACACTGTTTGTCCCTTTGCATCATTCACTACCTTCAAGTCAGCCTGCAAAATCATAAAATTCATAATTATAACTAGTCCTGGGGTACTTTTTGTGTGTGTGTGTGTGTGTGCGTGTGTGTGTGTCTGTGTGTGTGTGTGTGTGTCTGTCTGTGTCTGTGTGTGTGTGTGTGTGTGAGCACATGCATGCATGTAATACAGTTTTGCGATTTGTAGCTTGCTGGATAGAATACCATTTAATCCATGTTTTCCTATATATTGCGATATGTCTAACCGAAGCTGGGCAACGGGAGGTGGAACAAGTTACCACGAAGACAGACCCTTGATAAACAGTTGGTTGCCAACTTGCGCAACAGTGTTTGTCCATGCTGAGCCGAAGCGCTCTGCTTGCTACGCAGCGTTGCCCAGCAACACCTTTGTAAACACAGTGTCACGCAACAGAGGAGCCCATGCAGCAACTGTTGCTAGGCAATCAGTAAACACGACATCATGCAACAGTGAAAGCTATCATGTAACTGTTTTCTGTGTTGTCAGTGCAGAAGCTACATAACAGGAGTATTTGTCAGTGAGAGGGAGTAATCAGTCAGTTGCAGTCTAGCATTTGCCGGAGTCAATGGAAGCAGGAGAAGTAACTGTGATACTGCCGATGGCAGTAATTGTGGAACTGCACATTGTATAAGTGTAAGAGCGAATGTGCAATAAATTTGCTAGATCCAGAACAGCGTGAAGTTATTTGTCGCATTACATACCCAACACGTGACACTGTTTGTAACATGTTTGAGCCATATGGGGCCATCTTTATGTAAATATGATGATTCATATAACTGTAACACTGTATTAAATATTTCTTGGCAACAAAAATTTAAGTGTAAAAGTTTATTTTTTTAAAAAACCATGCCAAAAACACATGATGTGTTTGTTGCCTCAAGAGATTTCTCATAAAATGGTATAAGACTGCAACAGCAATACAAAATAACACTAACCATGCCCTCAAAGCCAACACGGTATAGATTCTTAGCACCATTATCCCACACAACGTAAGCGGCTGAACGTGGACTTGCTGCAGACCAATCCTGAATCTCGTTCACTTTCCCACGACGCCCATTACCACCATCTTGATCTTCCCACTGCCAGTCAACACCACGCACAACACGTGCTCCAGGAAAGATCCCACGAATAGCCACTTTTTTGCTCTTTCGACGAGGTTCCAATAACATTCTGAAGTCATAATTTTTTGTATTATTTCATGTATCTTTCAAATTGTATATATCACTTGGCCTTTATTTTAGAGTGGGAAGGACAGGGACAAACACAAATGTTGATGCAGAGTTGCCAGTGCCACAGATTCTGATACAGTGCAACTATGATCATCTCCCCCAACTATACGCGTTTTATGTCATACAAATTTCTACAAAATATTTTAATCACACTGTAAGACTGTACTGCAACTTTCCTTACTATGGTGTGCAGGTAAAACAGGCAGCGTTCACTATAAACAGGCTGAGTCTGGTATTTGTAACATTGGGATTATGATTTTCAAACAGCAATACTTAAATAAAACCCCATTTGGGCTGCGCCATAGCTCAAGCAGTTAGTCGCTGGCTTCCCATCACGGTGGCCCAGGTTCGATCCCAGGTCTGGTCAAGTGGGATTTTTGGTGGACAAAGTGGCACTGGGGCAGGTTTTCTCCGAGTACTTCGGTTTCCCCTGCCAATCTTCATTCATTCATTCATTTATTGTATATTCCATAAATCAATATACATAGATATAGAACCAGTCACATAGTTAATATAGTACAATACAATTATAAATATATATGTACAGTTTATAATCATTAAAATAGATAAAAATACATGTGTTAAATTTACAGTCTTACATCACTATACATAAAATTATGCAATATTAAAATTGTTTATGCTATTATCCTTATTTCTAGGCAAATTTGTTACTAAAGAATTCATCACATGTATAAAAAGAGTTCTGCAATAAAAATGTTGTCAACTGAATTCCACCAATTGCTCCACAATCACCCTCACCTATGATCTGGGGCTGGTACAATAGGCCAGAAGTGGCCGCAGTACAAGGGACTTGTCCCACCCCACTAGCAATAAAAAAGAGTAAAAATACTTGCATGGCCACAGATGGTCAAAATCCTGCTGTTGGACAAGGTATGAATTTTCATCACTGCTTAAATAATGTATGCATAATAACAGTGATTCCTGAATTAGATAAATACCAATTTCATTTATAATGTGGTTCAAGTTATCCCGCAACAACTAATTTACATTTCGGTACTACTGTACAAACTATTCATTATTAAACTGTAATTAAATCTCCAAATATTTATAACAACATAACATTTGAAATTTTCACAATGGTGAATACTAAGACTGCAGTCTTCTAAAATGTGACACAGTCTGGTAGTTCATTACCAGTGTTTCAGGGGAATATACTGCCTGCATCTTCAGGATACAAGTAATCTCTGGAAACCATCTACCAGATTACATGGCATGCCATCCAAGAAAACTGCATATCTAATATTAAGTTAGAATAAATAATGCTTTAAAATTCATTTTGCTCATGGAAACCACAATGTGTCTCCATTACAAAGACCAAATGGTTACTGCTATTCAGGAAAATAATTGCAATTCTGAGAAACCTACAAACTCACAGACTATGTGGACAAAAAATAGCTCCTAATGTTAAACAGGTGACACATACAGTAACTACTGTATTTTGAAGTATTAATATTTAAAACAAATTTCTCATTTTGAATGTACATACCACAAATCTCAGGATTATGGGGTTTCTGGGCTTGGTCCATCATCTGGTATTCTTTTGTGTTTTAAGAACACCAGATGATGGACAAGGTCCAAAAAAACAGTAATTCTGAATGTTATATACCATCATCAGTATCCTTTTGAATCTACCAAAAATTTCTGCATATTACAACTTGTCTTCGCCGCTATGATCTGTCTACTAGACTTGGCCGCGCCATAGCTCAAGCGGTCAGTTGCTCGCTTCCCACTGTGGCGGCCCGGGTTCGATCCCAGGTCTGGTCAAGTGGGATTTATGGTGGACAAAGTGGCGCTGGGGCAGGTTTTCTCCGAGTACTTCGGTTTCCCCTGCCAATCTTCATTCCATCAATTGCTCCACAATCACCCTCACCTATCGTCTGGGGCTGGTACAATAGGCCAGAAGTGGCTGCAGTACAAGGGACTTAGTCCCACTCCAATAGCAAGAAAAAAAATCTGTCTACTAATGTCTGGCAGTACAGAAGGAGTTATGGTACAGATCCTGAAGACTATATTACAGAAGAAAATGTTGTCATCCATTCCTGTCAGCTTATTCCTATACAGACCATTCAGTCTGAAATTAATGTTCACTTTCAAATGAAGCTTCCCCTTGCACACCTATCATATGGCATACAAAAATCAATCAGTGGGATAAGGCTGCTGCCAATGTTTGCAATGAACATTTTGAAAATACGAAAATTTGGGAGACCTGTACGTATAAATAACATTTAATGCTAACAACACACTATTAGAGATATTTCTGTTGGTATGTAGAGGGATGAGCAAAATAATGAAAACACTACAGATACTGTATAGGTTTATATTGGACTCTATCCATCACCTGGTATATAAGACAAAAAACCACAATGTTTCACAGACTGGATCTGTCTCCATCCTCAGGTGGATGGGGCAAGATAGACCTACTCAGTTGGGTATGTTAGAAAGAGCTAGTCTCAATCATTGGGCCTAGCTAGCTCTTGCTAACGTGCCCAATAGAGTAGGTCTATCTTGCCCCATCCACCTGAGGAAGGAGACAGACCAAGTCTCCAAAACGTTGTCATTTTTTTGTCTTATATACCAGACGATGGATAGAGTACAAAAATAAACCTTATAGTTCTATACAACATACACCATCATCAGAATCCTTTAAAGACTACAGATACTGTAAACATTTCTTTATTAATGCAGTGCTGGACCAACTTTTGCCTTCAGTACAGCTGCAGTCTTTCCTCGAACAGACTTGTACAAGTTTTGAACACCCTCTAGCAGAATTTTATGCCATTCTTCTTGAAGAACGTCTTCAAGTTGCTATAGAGATGTTGAAGGTGGGAACCTGTTCTTCATGCTAGTCTCCAAAACCGACCAAAGTGGTTCAGAGATTTCCAAATCTCATGATTGTGCTAGCCAGGGATGATGCCACAGCACACCTTCAGTCTCTTCAAACCATGACTGAACAGTTCCAGCTGTATAAATGGGACCACTGTCATCTTGGAAAATTGTATCGTTGTTCGAAAATGTCTGGATCACAGCATGGCCCTGATTACCCAAGCCATTCATGCACTCCCTTGTAGTAATTCAGCCATGAAGCGTAACATGGGACAAACAGAATAGTGTACCATGATATTGCTGCCCAAACCATCACAGAACCTCACCTACATTTCACTGTCGGAACCAGGCATTCCAGATTGTAGGCTTCCCTGGGTGTTCTCCAAATGTAAACTTTTCCTGATGTAGGGACCAGTGTGAAGGACAACTCATCTGACCATATCATAGGTGTGTTTCCAGCTGTATAATATCCAAGTTTTATGGTTATAACACAATCATTTATGCATCTAAGCATTACTTTCAGTAATCAGAAGTTTAGCAATTGCAGTTCTACTGTAAATGTTGAATTTGTGAAGCTCAAGTTTGACAGTTTTTGTACAAACAGGGTCTTCAAGATGAATATTCAGTTCTGCTGTCATCTGTAATGCAGTACTTCTGTGATTTCTTTAAACAATCCTTCTCAGTGTATGACGATCTCTTTCTATCAATGTTGATTTTGCCCACTGTTCCTCTTTACTGATGTTGTCTTCCCATGATTTGTGTATGCCCACAAAAGCTTATATACTATCACTTTTGAGACTTTCTAACGTGGCAGATTCTGTCACAGATGTTCCAGCTAAACATGCACCAATGATCTGTCCTCTTTCAATATCACACAAGTCTCCCATTTTACAATTCTTTCACATAGAATGTCACTCTACACAATCACAAATGCACTGACAGAGGCCGTACCATAGGTCAAGTGGTTAGTCGCTGGCTTCCCATTGTGGCGGCCCGGGTTCGATCTCGGGTCTGGTTAAGTGAGATTTGTGGTGGACAGAGTGGCACTGGGGCAGGTTATCTCCAAGTACTTCGGTTTCCCCTGCCAACCTTCATTTCACCAAATTCTCCATCATCATAATCACCTGGGGCAGGTACAATAGGCCAATCAGTGGCCACCATGCTGAGTGGACCCAGTTTGACTCCACCCCCAATAAGCGAATTGAAAAAGCACTGACATGAGCACTAGAGCGTGTAAACAAAGAGTAGAACATTCAGTGTTGCCAACTGAAGTTCTTTCAATGTAGCCAATACAAACAAATTCTATTCCTCAATTTCTTAGTGTTTCCATTATTTTGTCAACATCCTGTATGTTTGTATTAAGAAATTTACTTGAATTGCAAATAGCAGTCAAATACATTGGAATGCAGCTGTGAAAAAGCATGACATATGAGATATTTAGTGCAATTATATAAAATCATAGTCAAAAGGATACAATTATAATTAGTATTAACATAAATAATAAATGACTACAGATATTTATGTTTTGTTAGTGCTAGAGGATTTACCAAACTGGTACTAAAGAGAGAGAGGGCAACCGGCGTGTAAGGCTAACAACTTCACCGCCATCTGGGAACTGACTGTCTAGAAAAGTGGGAGCCTCGAAGTAGCACAACCCTATAGGCCTACACAGCCTGTTATAGGGATACTTTTACCTTTTTTTCACCATCAGGTACTCCTTCTAAAATTTTGTTTTAATCAGCAACCAATTCACTCCAAAAACATACAGTAATAATAATTTACCTTTCACTGCCGGGTGTCGTAATACGATAGAAACGATGCCGGAGATGATGCTTGTCTCCATGGTAACAAATAGAACAGAGGTCATAATTTCCGCATTCAGCACATTTCCAACGAATTCCAAATATTGGCTGCTGACGACATGTGTCACACATTGTACCATCATGTTTTACACCTGCAAAAAAGTCATGAAAGCATTATGCTTCTGTTGTTTATTTTTGACAACCTACTTAGCAATACTTAAAATATATCCTGAAACTTTCAGTGACCACTTGTCCATATATTTTTTTTTATTAACAGTTACCGGATTTAACAGATTTTAATATACCAAATACTAACATCTGTCACCGAATTTAATAACCCCATTATAAAGTATTCAAAATTATCTAGCTCAACGTAGAACCTTAAGATAAAAATATATTTCTGAACACACACCTGTTGGAGCACTATCCAATATCCTTAAGTCATACGCTCCAGAACATCTATAGTTTGCAGCAGTACCATTGTCCCAAACAACTACTACTTCTTCTGGTGATTCAAAATTCCTTACGGTTCCCACATGACCTTCGCCTCCATCCTAAAAAGGGAAACAGAGGTTATTGTGCACAAATGTAACGACAATCTGACGAAGAAACCGACAGTCGTCAGTACGTCCATAATAAAAAAAAATATATACAGAATCTAACCTGCTTTCCCCATTTCCAGTCTGGTCCTCGTATTACTCGAGCACCAACGCCTTCCATCATAAATCTTGTAGTTCTAGTTCCAGCACCAGCACCTCCCTCCATTTTATGACATGTGTTAGTCGAATATATACGTTTTCAATATCTGACGTCTAGATCGGTCTAGATCTGCTTTATGTACTGTCATCCGTACTCGCTTCCATTTTAACCACTGCTTCTACGATGCACAAGCTAACCTACTAAACAAAATTCTTGCATGTAGTTAACGTGTTATGGTGCTGAACCGTGGTCAGTGACTACTTAATATTTTGAGGGCCTCTGTGCATGGCTACGGTTTATCGTCGTGATAAAATTCTATCACCAGAGGAAAGCATACCCATGGCAGTTGAGTTTCCTGTGGCGCCACTAGAGTGCACCACTTTCGATATTGGTACTAATCGAGAATGTTGGTACCAACATTTAAATACTTTATATAGGTTGTGCATGAATAGGTGTACGTAAGATGGTGGCAGTATATTCCTCCGAAATATTGATCCCCCCCAGGCTACACGATATCATCAACCAGAAAACCCACAATATGAATCTTCAAAAACCATAAAACCTCAAATCCTAAATTAGAAAATCCACAGGGTTAAAAGTCAGGCCAAACAAGAAACCAGCGAGAAGCAGTTGAGCTCTGCTTACCATCTGTCTCTTTAATAGTTTCTTCTTTTACTTAGCTCTGGTCTTCGTCACTGAAGACAGACAGTACATTCCTCAAATACACTGGTGAACTAACAAACTATATGGCATTGCAACCCAGAAAACAATAAGGAATTATAACTTTATAGGACAGAGAGCGATAGGAAGTTGAAGGTGATGCTGAAGATATTATGAGGCTGATAGTTGTATTAAATTCCTATTTTATGGAGGCAAACTACACATGGGTGCTGCCAAAATTCTCCTCCAAAGAAGGGACCCAATGTTCCTGGTAGGAAAGCCAGAAAATGTTCTTAAAAGCTGATACTTAAGCCATATAACTTTACTTTTACTAGTTTTCCTCCAGTATTCAGGATAGAAGGAAATACTGCATTAATAATACATTCAATTTTATTATTAATATTTTGTGTAGCTCCTTCCTTTGTTCTGTTTTCCTCCCCGGCACTATATAATCTTGATATTGGTAGTTTTCTAAACAGCCAATTAAAGGAATGTGGATAAAACTCAAAAATCTTGGAGTCAGGTGCCTTGTTTGCTGCTCCCTGCTACACTAGTGCCCATGAATAAACATAGCTTACAGCACTGAACACATATATACACATCACAGTCTGTTTCAAATTTCTGTAACACTCATCAGTTTCAGATGCAGGTATTTAAATCTTCAAGAAAAAAGGAACTTTCACAGATGCAGAGCATAGCTGTCAAGAGCTTAGTGTTCCATAATTCTTGCAACACTTTCTGACTGTTTACTGTCATGTAGAGTAGGCATAAAAGGAAACACCTAAAGATGTTATAGAACTCATTCTGTACTCTTTGCAGGATATATTTAACACAATGTTCAAATATTGTGGTAGAGTTTTTTTTAGGTAATCCAACTGCCCTTCCCAATTATTTTCTCTTTCAAAATAAGTAAATTTTAATCTTTTAATTTTAGTTTTAATTATTACTTTTAATTATATATGCTGTGGTACTAGCAAAGAAACGAGTCACATCCTGGACAAAATAACAGGTACTTCTGTTTGCTTATGGATGCAGAAGGGAATAACTGGTTTGAGCTCAGAACTGTTGAAACTCAACAATAACAGGAATATAAATTATAATGAAGGATTTAGTTTATTTCTTCTAAGCCATTTTGTACATAAGGTCCAGAAAGCAACATGTCTGTGCTGTATAAAGAAATAGATTTTACATTAACATTTAAAATGTTCATGCAGCTGGTGCCAGGTTAAGGTGGTGGCTGGCAACTGGTATGTTTCCAGGCACAACATGGAGAGAGCCTCGGGTGGCAGCCACATATCTGTAAACAAAAGAATTGTCATTATATGACTGAAATTCACTTGCATTGAATAGTGAGTTAATGGTTGTTCTAATAATGAGAATCAGGTTGTATACCAAATCAATGCTTTTCAGTGGCTGATTATTTTATTATGTTTGAAGCTCAGTTACTACTAATGGGTAAGTTGTTAATCTGTGAGATTTGAGGCTAACATGATAGTGAGTGTTAAGAATATTGTTTTCTTGTATGTGACAACATGCAGTTTATAACATAGATACCAAATTTGGAGGAACCTGTGGTCTCCATCCTCAGGAGTGTTTTACCCTGATGATGGAGGAAAAGATTTCTCCAGAACGTTTGTTTCTACTTACCATCTGCACTAAATCACATTCCAGAAGACCTTAACTTTTACCAAATTAACATGACAGTGAATAATACTGAGTATGAAGTTACATAATTGAATTCAGAAGGATTCTTCATATATAAACTTGAAGATATCAGAATGTTTTCGGTGGCTCACAAAACCAGATAATTTGAAAGGCACTACTTTAGATAATTCTACAATTTTACGTTTTTCTCATGATATGTACAATTATTTAAAATGGGGGCTATAATTCCACACCCTAGAGCTTAAGCAAAAGAAACGAATAACGCTTACCCTGGCTGGGCTGCAATAGATGGGGCGCCTGGGACCGCTGGGAGAACTGCAGGGATGGCACCTGGAAGTACACCGTACAGGCCAGGAGAGACCAGGACCTGGGCTGAGGCGACTGCCAGGACAACGAGGGCGAAAAACAGCAGACACTGCAAACAGTTACACTCTTGAATGTTGGCAATTGCCGGAACAGTCGTTGATGTAACAATCTTACCAACCATGGTGAAGAACTTCTATACCTGTATATCTCTCTACTGCACCTAATTAAAATAGTCAAACGACTAAAGTTCCTCCAGACTGGAGTCATCAGGGTTTTGACTTCATGGAATAAGGTAGGTTGTTACCAACCTTCCGAGAGAACATGCTGTTACTTCAGAAATGTCAGGTTAACACAGAAGAGAGAAGATGTATTTTCCTTCGAAAAGTTGGTAACCGCCTGCCAGACTACAGGACACCATAATCCGGAAAGTCGCAATTTGTATTTTGACCACCGTGAAAACCTCAGCTCTCGAACGATGTTAACCTTTTTCCACGTGTCTACGAACGATCCAGGAATATTGCTGTTTTCTTATTGACTTAGTGAAGTGTGGCATTTGTATATGATTCATACACAATGAGAAATCAGTTATTTCTTAGTTTATAAAAGGGAGCTTTCGAAGAAGAGTTAGCAGCACGGTATTTGCAAGTTTAATTGTGGATGATGAGTTCGAAAATTAGGAAAGGAAGCCGTGACACTATTCCAGTTCTTTCCTGGCAATGGCACATTCCCAAATTTTGATTTCATAAAGAACAGGATAATCTGTGTATGAGCTCCCTAAAACACACACAACCACAGAAGTATGTTCTTTAATTTTAGATCTGAAACAAAAATATTTAAAATTCTGAATAGGCACGAGTAACGCAGCTTCGGCAATATATGGATCACGATCATCAATGCAATATTTGACGGTTTTCATCACGGCAGCTATGCATACACCATCATAGTACATGAAGTAGGGTACAGCCTCTCCTCACAACCATAATTTCATTTTTATTAGCCCAACACTCATTATTATATAAAAAAAATACTCCATGATTTCAGTCCGCAAGCGAACCATACCGACCGAGCGACCGCCGCTTGTCGTCGAAGTTTAGTGCCAACTTTTGCGGATAGAGGATGTCACGTGATCAGCGCAACGGATCCCCTCGGCCGTTAATTTCGGATTTCTAGACCGGAGTCGATATTTCCTTGAAATAGCTCCTCAATTATCATCACGAGGCTGAGTGGATCCCGTTCCAGACCCACTACTTCTCAGAAAAAANAAAAAAATCTGGTACCGCCGGATATCGAACCCGGACCTCTGGATCTGTAGCCAGAAACGCTATAAAAACCGATGTTAAATAACGAACTAAATTTCAAACTCTATGTCTAGTCCCGCGCATCATTCATCATAGAAGTTCCCTGCCCAGATAATTTAACTTACTTTCTCAATCAAATACCACTTAGGAGGACGAAGATTTGAAATACTTCCCCAGATATACTGAATGTATAAAGAGAAGTATTTTCTCACACAAATTTGTGAAAAAGAGCAAGACCTATATCAAGAACGTTACCAATCTGCCTTAGTCGCAAATTTTTTGTTTAATTTTAAACCATTTTTTACCGCCAGAGAATATCATTTAGCGCCCGAAAGTGTTTAGAGCTTGCGATTGTCACTTCGATAGAGAAATCACCCCACGACAACCAGGAAATTGATTCGTAAGTCTGTAAAGTGTGCCATCTTCTTTAACATTAAAGAACACTATACTTTGTTCATACAGTGTATTTGTACATATATTTGTATTATTGTTACAATACAAACTCCGTGGCTTTAGTCCGCAAGCGAACTAAACCGACCGAGCGACCTCCGCTTGTCGGCAACGTTAGTGTCAACTTTTGCGGATAGAGGGTGTCACGTGATCAGTGCAACGGATCCCCATGGCCGTTAATCTCGGTTTTCTAGACCGCAGACGCTATTTCCTTGAAATAGCTCCTCAATTATCCTCACGAGGCTGAGTGGACCCCATTCCGGACCCAGTATTTCTCAGAAAATCTGGTGGCGCCGGGAATCGAACCCGGAGCCTCTGACCACTAGACCACAGAGGCCAGCATTATTATTGTTACAACGAATAATGATAATTTGCCTGATAATTTATCGAGACGTACTCATTCCTATAAAGTAATAGTGGATTTGTTAAATATTATATATGAGAATTTAGTGCTTGAAAGGGTTAACATAAATCTACTTCTTTGTGTTTGCATTGCAATACAACCCTTTCCAGGTTAAAATGGGAAAATTCCCTGAAATCACTAATGACCAAAAATCAACCACCTTAACCTTCCTGCGTATTCATATGGTTACCTTCATGTTGAGCTGAGGAGATGTGTTTCTTGCGATTGTAACACAAGTAACTATAACAATGTCGGGGTCCGGTGCGTTTATATACCCAATGGCTTCTTGCTGGACAATGGAACAACTAACGCAGATAGGAAAAAGTTCGATCGACGGCCTTCAGAACAGTTAACAACAAACAAGTTGACTTGGGTGTGGTTAATTTGTTCAACGGACGTAAGAATTCAGTTTGTAGATATAATTCATCCTCATTCGAAACACATGTAAAGTTCCGGTCTGGTTTCATCACATAATGCTCTGTGAGGGCACGGAAGCCCGCAGAGGCGTCGGATGTCCACATCTGAGTAAAATCAAGGCGCACAGGTCATGTTTATTTTGAAGGGAGATCTCGACTTTTCCCAATCAGATATTCCTGTTCGTCCCTGCACTTCCGCAAACCACCACAGAAGTTTGCATGCCTCTGTGTACCAAAGAGTGATTTTCGCATATGTCGGCGTTAGAGCCACGGTTTTCCCACTTGCAGAGTTTATAAATCCTTATTAAGAAAAATTTAGTAATCTGGAGACGAAGTTCAGACAACCTCAAGGTCTCCATCTTCTTAGGACAACACAGAACAACTTACGATACCCGCCCTATAGCGCAAGGAACAAAAATAGCTAAGTCGGTATAGCGACAGGCGACAGGCTTGATGGTCGGGGTTCAGTTTCCGGATGGGGCAAGAAATTTATTTCTATTCTACGAGTAACGTGTTCGTACTCACTCCGGTGCCCACCCAGGATCCTATTCAATGAGAAATCGAGGCTTTTTCCCTGGGGTATACTGAGAGGGTCGTGATCAAGAATGACGGAGCTTCCCCACATGCCTTCATGGCATGCTGCTTAGTTAATTTCTCCGTACCTGTTTTTCTCGAAAACCATTAGACTTGCGGAAAATGTGCGTTGGGTTCTAAAAGGATTTTCATTAAATTTGGTTCTGGGGAGTATCACTAAAATTTGTCGATATAAGGTAAAGCTATCCCTGTAAAAGGCCGTGGAGGCTCCTAGCGCTGCGAGACGTTGAGACTTCCACATTTTCTAGACAATCGGTTCACAGATGGCGGTGAGTTTGTCAGCCCCACGCGCCGGTCGCCCTTTACCCACAAGAATATTCCTGGTACTCATTTCTGTTAGAAACTTGAGTCTCCTCGAGAGCTATTTTGCGGTTGGAAGGATTAGGTTGATTGAAAAATCCGGTGACCTCATTTGGAATCCAACCCTGCGACATTCCGGCTTGTGCCTAAACCAACTATGCTAGTCTATACATGACAATTTAGTTCGAAGTGCACAAAACTGACAATTCGTATGTAAATTTATACGCTCCTCTGAGCGCGTCTCAAGCTCAAGTCGCTCAGTGCTTAAGTTGCTTAATCCTTCTTGCGATGGCGCCAGTCGCTTAGTTACTCAATAATTTCCCAACGTTTTATGGAGCCAAGATTTTCACTGCCTTTTCACGAGAGCCCTCCACTAGTCCGAAACCTGAGCGAGATCAATCCAGTCCAAAACACACAATCCTATTTTTCGAATATCTGGCTATCTATGGCTCTACAGCCCTTGCGAACCTTGGCCCTCTTTTTCAGTTTCTTAATCCTATACACAGTCTGTAGGACTCCACGGAGAGGGGATCAGCCCTTCCAAAAGCCGCTACCTACACACAGAACAACACAGACAGAGAATAAACGCGCACAGACACCCATGACTCGAGTGGGATTCGAGCCCACGATCCCAGTGTTCGAGAGGGCGAAGACGGTTCATGCCTTAGACGGCGAGGGTACTGTGATCGACACTTTTCGAACATTAATTTCAATATTATCCTCCCACTTACGTCTAGATTTACCTAGTTGTCTCTTCCCTTCTGAGTTTCGCATCAAATCCTATATGCATTCTTCTTCCGACGAATGTTTATGGGAGTAAAAAAAAATCTCGAATAAATTCTGTAAAGAAAAGATATTTATTTTGCTTAATTTCCCAGTATTTTTTTTTGCTAGTAAGGTGGGACTAAGTCCCTTGTACTGCGGCCACTTCTGGCCTATTGTACCAGCCCCAGATGATAGGTGAGGGTAATTGTGGAGCAATTGGCGGAATGAAGATTGGCAGGGGAAACCGAAGTACTCGGAGAAAACCTGCCCCAGTGCCACTGTGTCCACCACAAATCCCATTTGACCAGACCCCGGGATCGAACCTGGACCGCCGCGGTGGGAAGCCAGCGACTAACCATTTGAGCTATGGCGCGGCCATATTTCCCCAGTAAGCCATATGGTTTTCGAGACAATTAAAAATAAAGTCAACAAATGACCGAGATCTGTTGCGCCATTTCCTAACATGCCGGCTGACAGGGCGTGGTGCTTCATAAAGCTGGGCGGAAGGCATCGTGTTCAGCTCCCTGCAGTACCGCACACATTCTGTGGAGCGAAGCCAGGGTCACTGTCACTGTTCGCGGCGGGGGCAAGGCATCCGGATTGCACTTTTGGGATCTGTCCAATAACTCACTTAGACACCTGTCTGTAACAGGTAACCGGGACAGTCCGCTCCTCGTCTCTACACTCCGTAACATGTTATTATTTATACTGCTGCTCTGTAGCGCAGTTGCTTGAGACACCACGCTACAAGGTCGCGGGTTCGATTTCCGATGAGGTCATTGGATTTTTCAGCCGCACTATGGCCCTGGGGTTGACTCAGCCTCTAACAGAAATCAGGAAGCTTCCCGAGTTTAAAGTGCGGCCGGCGCGTAAGGCTGACAACCTCACCGCCTTCTGTGAGCCGTTTGTCTAGAAAATGTGGTAGCCTCGACGGCCTGTTACAGGAATAAGTTTACCTTACCTTTTTTACCTTTTACTTATATTAATTTATCTTTGGAGCCGGCACAACTGAGTTACTATAGCGACTGGCTATGAACTGGAGGGCCGAGGTTCTATTCTCGGTAAGGGAAAGATATATTTTCCTTATCCACAGCTTTCAGATCGGTTCTGGGGCCCGCACAGCCTCCTATCCAATGGGTACCGGAGGTTCTTTTCGCGTAGGTAAAGCTGCAGAAGCGCGAGGTTTACCACTTACCTCCATCTAACGCCCCGATCAAGAGTTCTGAAGCTACACTGCCTCTCCATAAATATCTCCATGGCGCGGGGCTTAATTGGTCAAGCACAATGACACCTCAGTATTCTTTACGTTAGTCGGCATCGCAACTAGACAGCGGGGTGGACAAAAGTTGAAATGGGGTTGGATTCCAGAAGGGAGTAACAGAGTTCTCTCTTATCCGCAGCCTCCAGATAAGCTCTGATGCCCACCCAGCTGTACTAAGGGCTATTTTGGCCGCGCCATAGATCAAGCGGTTAGTCGCTGCCTTCTCACCGCAGCGGTCCGGGTTCGATCCCGGGTCTGGTCAAGTGGGATTTGTGGTGGACAAAGTGGCACTGGGGTAGGTTTTCTCCGAGTACTTCGGTTTCCCCTGCCAATCTTCATTCCACCAATTGCTCCACAATCACCCTCACCTATCATCTGGGGCTGGTACAATAGGCCAGAAATGGCCGCAGTACGAGGGACTTAGTCCCACACTACTAGAAATAAAAAAAAGGACTATTTTCTTGGGACAAAGTGGCAGGGGGCGTGAAGCTGACAATTCACCCTAACTATTGTAAAGGTAAGAATGGTGGAGATATACATCCCTTTCCCCATATATCTTTAAGGGACGATGCTTACATAATTAAGCACTGAGACAATTTTGCGTTTAAGTTGCTTGATTTATCTAATGATGCTTTTAACTATGTCTTATACAGCGTCAAATTTTAGGGTTAGTGCGTAAGAAAAATTGGAAATTGTGAGTGTGTACGCGACAGTGTCCCCTTTTGGGGCAGTATGACTGTATTTGCCTGAAGGAACTGTGGAAAGACACGAAAAAGCCTCAGTCAGGACAGCTGGTGTCCTGAGAGAGATCTGAACACGAGATGTAGTCAGCACAAAGCTCTATCTGGCGCACTATCCATTCTGTCGCGTACTTCACGACGCAACGTTGACAGGAAGATGGATGAGCTGGGCGTGGCAGGTAGTACAATTAATGCAGCAAATATTAAATGACAAGGAATTTTAATCAGTTAACTTAGGCGTTGAAAACTTGAGAGACATGTCTGCAAATGTGAGGATAATATTAAAGACAAACAGTATCTGAAGATTGTGAACGAAAAGTAGTTGTCCATGATTGGGGCCACAAAAGGGAGTTAATACTATCAGTTACCGACGTTCGAGTCTGAAGCTATCGCTGTAACAGGCCGTGGAGGCCCATAGGGTTGTGAGACATCGAGGCTCCCACATTTATTACACAATCGGCTCACAGATGGTGGTGAGGTTTTCAGCCTTAAGCACCCACTGCCCTTTACCCCCAGGAAGATTCTTAGTATTCATCTCTGTTAGAGGCTGAGTCAAACATTGGATCAAAAGGCGGTAGGAATAATTAGGTGAATAAAAAAATTCTGTGACATCGGGAATCGAACTCGTGACCTTCCGGCTTGTAGCGTAGTGCCTCAAACAACTACGCTACCGCGTGCCCCACGTTCTCGGGGAAGCCACTGCGTTTGCGCAATGAATCGGCTGCTGGCTCCAACAGTTATACCGCAACGCACACATCAATTGAAGAGATAGTATCGCGTACATCAGAAACAGTTGTAAGTCAGTGGCGGTCTCGTTGCTGTTCTGGTTGTCTTGTTGGTCGCAATTACGAATATTACAGTTACACTTTACGTCCCAATATACCGTTACTGGAATAAAGGTACAAAGCCGTGGGCGTGGGCTCTGTATAAACCGCTGTCCTTTGTCACAAGCTGTGCCTCTCTCTCCTGAAGGCTACACGAAGATTATCGGAATATCGCACAAGGCAGGCCTGTTTTAATTTTACCTCGTAAAGAAATCTAAGGATTGATCTCAGAAAATGGGTGGGGTATGACAATACATTGAGCCAGCTCCATTAGTACCTTTTCATTATTACTATTATAAAGGGTCTTGTTGTGTAGGAAAGAAAAATTGCCTTGATACTAAACACAGGGCTGAAAATGTGGGGGGAGACAATTAGCAACACATAATGAATGTTAATG